TTTTTCAATAAATGGATTACGTTTTTCAATGAATGGATCTTACAAAGATGTTTTTCAATAAATGGAAGGAAAGATGTGTGTGCTTGGTTTTGTTGCTGAGACCCAAATGTTGCTAGTGCAAGCACCCACCAGGGGTACAGGTCGAGTCAAAGCTGAATGACGAGCTCATCTTCAATGTAGCTTTCCAAGCTTTCCGAACGAGACAACAATAAGTGAGCAATTTCCTCATCTATTTTATAGGTGAGGAAATTGAGGCCAAGAGACAGGTAAAGAATTGTGCCCTAGCCCATGAAAGAAGGAAGCAACAGAGCCCAGATTCGACTTCAGGTGTTTCTAACTCCAAAGCCTGAACCAAACTGCCTTCCTCTGACTGGCATTGGTACTTGGAACTTCACCTGTTCCAAGGAATTGATATTTGCGTGGTGGCACGGCTGAGGCAGGAGAATCGGTTGAATCCGGGAGGTGGAGGTTGTGGTGAGCCGAGATTGTGCCATTGCACTCCAGCCCGGGCAATAAAGGGAGACTCGGTCTCAAAAACAAAACAAACAAAAAAACTAGATACTGTGCAGCAACTGGAAATCACATTGTAGAAAAAAAAAAAAAAAGTGGCAAAAGGCACCAAGACCCAGCGCTTCCCTGACCTCTGCTCCCTCCAAATAAGCATCTATCACAGCAAATCAACCTGGATAAAGCCAGGATTCACAGCAGAAGTGGCACCTCAGACACCAAAGCAGCCTTCCTTCTCAAAGCTTTTAAACATCATTGGGAAAACTTAGAGCAAATCAAACCGACGTTTTTCAATAAATGGAAGGAAAGATGTGTGTGCTTGGTTTTGTTTTTTGCTGAGACCCAAATGTTGCTAGTGCAAGCCCCGGCCAGGGGTGCAGGTCGAGTCAAAGCTGAATGAAGAGCTCATCTTCAGTGTAGCTTTCCAAGCTTTCAGAGCAAGACAACCATGGACCATCCTCTTCTTCAGACTGGCCTGTCTTCTTCTTGAACAATGTCACTTTGCTCCTCACTGCTGTCATCTGCACAGGGGTGAAATAAACCCAATGCTTGGTAATCAGAGTGTGATTCTATTTCAACCATCAGTCATCAATCATCTCAGTGATTTCTAGTCCTTTCCTGGTGAGTCACAGAATGGGATCTCATGGAGAAGAAGGTGGGTAGGGTGTGTTTTCCCCTTTTCACCTGTTTTCTACACTCAAAACCTCTAGGCATGCTTGATACCAGCCATCCTTCATGTCCTCTGCTCACGCCCCTGCCCTCACCTCTCTCCTTTCTGCTTATTCCAACTCAGCCGTCCTAAAGCCTTGCTTCATGTCCACCTCTTCCATAAAGCTTCCCCTGACCAGTGCACCCCTCCAGGCTCTTATCTTTCTCTGAGGTCCCATAATTTTTGGTTCAGTGGCACGATCTCAGCTCACTGCAGCCTCAACTTCCTAGGCTCAGGGGATTCTCCCACTTCAGCCTCCCAAGTAGCTGGGGCTACAGGTACATGCCACCATACCCAGCTAATTTTTTGTACTCTTAGTAGAGACGGGTTTTGCCATGTTGCTGAGGCTGGTCTCAAACTCCTGGGCTCCAGTGATCCGCCCACTTTGGCCTCCCAAAGTGCTGGGATTACAGGCATGAGCCACCGCGCCTATAATTTTTAAATATTGTCCATCAGGCAATTAATCAAATATCTTTCTGCAGCAGCTCTTCTACTGCTCTCTCAAAGTGTTGGTTCAGTCTTGCTCCTGTTTCCATTTCCCCTGTGGGTTTTAGTTTGTTCACCTAAACTGGTTTTTTTTGTTTTGTTTTGTTTTGAGACAGAGTCTCACTCTATCACCCAGGCTGAAGTGCAGTGGCTCAATCTCGGCTCACTGCAGCCTCCGTTTCCCGGGTTCAAGTGATTCTCCTGCCTCGGCCTCCGAAGTAGCTGGGATCACATGCACCTACCATGCCCAGCTAATTTTTGTATTTTTAGTAGAGATGGGGGGGTCTCACCATGTTGGCCAGGCTGGTCTCAAACTCCTGACCTCAAATGATACACCTACCTCAGCCTCCCAAAATGCTGGGATTATAGGCGTGAGCCACTGCACCCGGCCTGAACTGGTCTTGTAAAGCCCCTGCATGAAGACGCTAACAGTTTCTCTTTTCTATTCTCCCACAATGCCAATATTGTGCCTACCCTAGACCAGGACCTTGGTAAGAGTGTGTCAATTTGATTTTCATGTTGGTAGTTGACAGTAGTCTCAGGTTCTAGACTAAAGTTTAGCTATCTTCCCCAGCCTTTAAAAAACCAAACTCACCCCTTAGAGATTTCCTGCTGAGAAGCTCACTGCAGTTCAGAGGTTTGTGGGCTTTTTTGTTTTGTTTTGTTTTTTTGTTTGTTTTTTGAGACAGGTGTCCCACTGCTGCCCAGACTGGAGTGCAGTGGCGTGATCATAGCTCACTGCAGCCTGGACCTCCTACACTCAAGCGATCCTCCAGCCTCAGCCTCCCAAGTAGCTGGGATCACAAGTGCACACTGCCATGCCTGGCTAATTTTTCTTTCTTTCTTTCTATCTTTCTTTTTTTTTTTTTTTTTAGAGACAGAGTGTCACTATGTTGCCCAGGCTAGTCTCGAACTTCTGGGCTCAAGTGATCTTCCCACCTTGGCCTCCCAAAATGCTGGGATTATAGGCATGAGCCAACATGCCTTTGTTTGTTTTCTGTTTATTCGTTTAAGGAAAAAGAGCTTACCTTGTAGATCCTGGAATCCATTTCCCATCTGTTCTATGTTCCCATTCACCAAGGCGGTCACTCTGTGAATGTGGTCCTGCTTAGGTATTTCTTTTGGCAACTCCTCTCTCTCATGTGCTTCCTCCTCTTCCTCTACTGCAGCATCTTCCTCCTCCTCCTCCTCCTCTTCTGAATCCACCAAAACCATGACATCATCCATGTTTTGTCCCCTAATTTCCAAAGGGAAAAAATAATCAAGAAGATTTCCTATTTTTCCCAACTTCAGCCCTCACTGAATAGGAAACACTAGATTTTTTGCGACCCCATTAGTAATATGGAAAATTCCTCAGGCACTCAGCTTGGTGAAGTAATGAGATGATGGTGTGGTAACCAAAGAGAGAGATGCTGCCACAAATTGCTTCAGATGATGGTATCTCATGCTGGGTTTGTTTTATTACTCCGTTGCTCCTCGGGCAGGTGACCATGTCCCAGGCATCTACCATTTCATGTCCCCTTACAGCAGGTAGACAAATGTTTTTCCTTTTCTGAAATGCCCTCATTCTGCTCTACTTACCGAAATCTGTCCCCCTCCTCATTTTGGAAGACACAGGTAAAGTCCTCTCTCCCCCGCTAAAGACCTAAATTAATGATTCCATTCAGAGTCCACACTGTAGCTTATTTACTGTCAGCTCACTAGCTCTGCCTACCCAGCCAGACTTTGCATTTCAGACTACACATTTCTTTTTCTTTTCTTTTTTTTTCTTTTTTAAGATGGAGTCTTGCTCTGTTGCCCAGGCTGGAGTGCAGTGGCATGATATTGGCCCACTGCAACCTCCACCTCCTGGGTGCAAGCAATTCTCCTGCCTCTGCCACCCAAGTAGCTGAGACCAAAGGCGCCACCACATCTGGCTAATTTTTGTATTTTTAGTAGAGACGTGGTTTCAGCATGTTGGCTAGGCTGGTCTCTAATGCCTGGCCTCAAGTGATCCACCCACCTTGGCCTCCCAGAGTGCTGGGATTATAGGGCATAAGCCACTGTGCCCGGCCTGGACTGTGCATTTCTTCTTTTTTCTTTTTTTGAGACAGAGTTTCGTTCTTGTTGCCCAGGCTGAAGTGCAATGGCACAATCTTAGCTCACTGCAACCTCCGCCTCCCAGGTTCAAGTAATTCTCCTGCTTCAACCTCCCAAGTAGCTGGGATTACAGGCATGCGCCACCACACCTGGCTGATTTTTTGTATTTTTAATAGAGATGGGGTTTCTCCATGTTGGTCAGGCTGGTCTCGAACTCCCAACCTCAGGTGATCCACCCACCTCAGCCTCCCAAAGTGCTGGGATTACAGGCATGAGCCGCCGCACCCGGCAAAACAAACTTTTTCAGACGGAGTTTCACTCTTGCTGCCCAGGCTAGAGTGCAGTGGCGCGATGTCGGCTCACCACAACCTCCGCCCCCTGGGTTCAAGTGATTTTCCTGCCTCAGCCTCCTGAGTAGCTGGGATTACAGGCATGTGCCACCATGCCCGGCTAATTTTGTATTTTTAGTAGAAACGGGGTTTCTTCATGTTGGTCAGGCTAGTCTTAAATTCCCAACCTCAGGTGATCTGCCTGTCTTGGCTTCCCAAAGTGCTGGGATTACAGGCGTGAGCCACTGTACCCAGCCTGGACTATGCATTTCTTAAGGAAGAAAGAATGAAAGTCACAGGTCAGTCACCTGCCCAGGGAGCTGTGTTACATTCTCATTTAATCTTCACAAACCCCTTGGTGAAACAGATCAGGAGACGAAGGCTCAGAGAGGGTCAGGGATTTTCTGTCGGTACAGGGCTTGGGAATGGCACAGCTGTCATTTGAACCCAGGTCCAATGGTCTCAATGCCTTTTCCTCCTATACCACACTGATGCCTCCGGTGAGAAACAAGCCCAGGGAATGACAGACTTACTGAGAGAATGGCCCTCCAATACAGGGCAGTAAAGGTAATGTTTTGCTACGAAAGATGGTCCCAGAACAATAACATCCTGTTGTTATGAATAGGTAAAGAACTGTTTTTCCATAGGATCATAGAGAAGAGTACTCTGCTCCCACCCAGAATCTCCTTAGGAAATGTAATATACAAGTTCCATTTGGTTCCTTTGCCCCTACTGGGGTTTCCTTTTGGGAGGGGGTTCTAGGCATGCTCATAGTAGCCTTCCAAAACACTGTAAAACTGGCTGGGTGCAGTGGCTCATGCCTGCAATCCCAGCACTTTGGGAGGCCGAGGTGGGCAGATCACTTGAGGCCAGGAGTTCAAGACTAGCCTGGCCAACATGGTGAAACCCCGTCTCTACTAAAAATACAAAAATTAGCCAGGCGTGGTGGTGCGCACCTGTAATTCCAGCTACTCAGAAGGCTGAGACAGGAGAATGGCCTCAACCCAGGAGGCAGGGACTGTGGTGAGCCGACATCGCGCCATCGCACTCCACCCTGAGCAAGAGAGCGAGATTCTGTCTCAAAAAACAAAAAACAAACAAAACAAAACAAAAAACTCTAAGACCATGATTGATTCTTTCTTTTAGCTCTTTTTAGAAAATTAAATAAAACAAATGCATGAATGACTGGCTCAAAATGTACACATTGTCTTTCTGTCTCAATGACAGACCTGCAATGTGTCCAGCCCTGAGGTTTGGCGTTGTAAAAGAACACAGACTTTGGAATTGATTAGACCTGGACCTGAAGGAAGGCACTGCTGCTTTCTTCCAGAATGAGCTTGCAGAAATTACTTCATTGAGCCTCCATTCCCTTATCTGGAAAATGGAGACGTCACCACCACCGTGAGGAGATGATGAAAGGGTTTATAAGAATACCTGATAAAACCCCTACACCAGTGTCTAGTACATTGTAGGTCCTCAGTGGTAGTTGCTATTATTGTTCTTATGAAAGGAAGGGAACAAAACAGAAGTGAAGACAGATGGTGGGAATAGGTTTGAGTCTAGGGAACACTCACCTGAAAGTGTTTCCTACTGAAGAGAGAAAGGAAAAACCATTAATATCCAGTAACATCCACTTCAACCTCACAGGTTCTTATTCAGGCTAACATTTACTAGAGGAACAAATGAGAAAACTGACTCAATGTGACAGGTGATAGGGTGTCCCAGGATGGTACCTAGATGACTTATTACTGTACATCTCGACCCAACGAAGAAGCCCAGAGAACAGAACTTCAGGTGGGCGCATGACAGGGGCCATCCTTCCCCAACCCGCACCTTTTCAAAAGCCTGGAAGAGAAGCTAAGGGACCCAGGGAGCTCTTACCTTTCCAGCAGAACACAGGGCTGTAATACAACAGAAGCCCTGAGATAATGGCCAGTCCCAGCAGAAGGAGACTCACAATGGTTCCCACAATCCCCCCGATATTTACAGGTTCTGTAAAGACAAATCACACCGTTGATTCTTCCATCAGATATGTGTGCAATCAGAACACCACCTTCCTTTCTCTGCGTGGATCCAGTTCTTGTCTTATCTTGATTGCTGACCTTGGGTACGGCTTATGACCTGTCTGTAATGCCAGATAAATATTTTATCACCCAACCTCAGAGAGTTTGTGGGGATGAGATGGAGCAGGGAATGTGAAAAAACAATGGAAACTTAAAATCTCTCTGTCTACCAAACATTGAGACTATTTATAAGGCCATGGTAAGTAAGAGTGTGAGAGTTATCAATGCCATGATAAACAGAGTGATCAATGGAACAGAACAGAGAATCCAGGAACAGGTCCACACGTAAATATACTTGATATATGACAGGGTATTGAGCAAAGGAAGCACTATTTAAGAATTGGTACTAGAGTCTGGGCATGGTGGCTCACGCCTGTAACCCCAGCACTTTGGGAGGCTGAGGAGGGCAGATCACCTGAAGTCAGGAGTTTGAGACCAGCCTGACCAACATGGTAAAACCCCATCTCTACTAAAAATACAAAATTAGCCAAGTGTGGTGGTGCATGCCTCTAATCCCAGCTCCTCGGGAGGCTGAGGCATGAGAATCGCATAAACCCAGTAGGTGGGGGTTGTGGTGAGCCAAGATTGCGCCATTGCACTCCAGCCTGGGCAACAAAAGTGAAATTCCGTCTCAGAAAAAGAAAGAAAGGGGAGGGAAGGTGTGGGAAGGGAAGGGCAAGGAAAGAAAAGAAGGAAGGCAGGAAAGGGAAAAGGGAGATGAAAAGGGGAAAGGGAGAAGGGAAGGGAAGAAAGAAAGAGGCCAGGTGTGATGGCTCATGCCTGTAATCTCAACACTTTGGGAGGCTGAGATGGGAGGATCACTTGAGCCCAGGAGTTCAAGGCCAACCTGGTCAACATGGAGAGACCCCATCTCTATAAAAAATAAAATAAAAATAGACATCTATAGTAAAAATTAAAATTCAGGACTGTGGTTACCTTTCAAGAGGGGCCCAGGATGAGACTAGGCCTACAGGGAGGGTTCCCAGGTAAAATTCAGTATGCCTAGTGAAATTTGGATTTCAGATAAACAATGAATAGTTTTTCAGTGTAAGTATGTCCCATGAAATATCTGGAACACACTTATACTAAAAAAAAATATATATATATTTTTCTAAACTCAAATTTAACTAGGCATCCTGTTTTTAAAGTTCTATTGTTATTTTCTTCTTTTCGAGATGGAGTCTTGCTCTGCCGCCCAAGCTGGAGTGCAGTGGCACAATCTTGGCTCACTGCAGCCTTCACCTCCCAGAGTCCAGTGATTCTGCCTCAGCCTTCCGAGTAACTGGGATTATGGGCACCTGCCACCATGCCCAGTTAATGGTCTCCAACTCCCAACCTCAGGTGATCTGCCTATCTCAGCCTCCCAAGTAATTTTGTTTTTTTACTAGCGATGGGGTTTCACCATATTGGCCAGGCTGGTCTCGAACTCCTGGCCTCAACTGATCCACCTGCCTCAGCCTCCCAAAGTGCTGGGATTACAGGCGTGAGCCATCGTGCCCAGTCCTATTGTTGTTTCCAAATCTGGCCCTGAGACATACCAGTAACCTAATGCATGTTGGTACTATTCTATATCCTAAATGGGATGACAGTTTCTTAGGTGTTCCTTTTGCTGTTATGCTTCACAACTGATACACACTAGATATCTATTCTTTGGTGTGTATAGATAGTATGTAATTTTTGCTACCTATGTAAATATTAGTGAGTTTGGGGTTGGATAATAATGTATTCCAGCCACCTTGTCAAGTCATAAGCAAGCGGATATGCCTTCTTCCAGTTGGCAGTGACCCACGTGCAGGGAGGCACCAGGCTGTCCCCATGCTGGTGCTGGGTGCTCTGAAGCTCTGAACCCTCCTCCTTCAGGCTCAGTTCCACCACTCACCTTTCACACTCAGCCAGATTTCCACCTCCCTCACCCCTACAGGGCTGTCAGCCCGGCAGATGTAGTAGCCCTCATCCAGGTCCTGGGAGCAGTTGTGGATGGTGAGGGTGGAGTCCTGGCCGTCCTGGGTAATGAGATGGCGGCTGCTGGGCTGGATGACCACCTCAGGCTGGGTAAGGTTCCTCAGCCACAGGATCTTGGCAGGGGGGTAGGCCCCAGACACCTGACAGGTAAGTGTCACATTGCCTCCAACGAAGCAAGTCTTCATGGGCTCAGAGAGAAGGGAGGGACCCCCTGGTGATCAGAAGGTAAAGAAAGACAAATGTTAGAGATTCAAGTCATGAACTGAGATCTGCAAGAAAAATACAGTAGTCTTCTTTTTTTTTTTTTTGAGATGGAGTTTTTGCTCTGTTGCCTAGGCTGGAGGGCAGTGGCGCGATCTTAGCTCACTGAAACCTCTGCTTCCCTCTCGGGTTCAAGCAATTCTCCTGCCTCAGCCTCCCGAGCTGGGATTACAGGCGTGTGCCACCACACGTGGCTAATTTTTGTATTTTTAGTAGAGACAGGGTTTCACCATGTTGCCCAGGCCGGTCTCAAACTCTCAAGCTCAGGTGATCTGCCCATCTCAGCCTCTCCCAAAGTGCTGGGATTATAGGCGTGAGCCACCGCATCCGGCCCCAGTCCCCTTTATCCGTGATTTTACTTTCTGAGGTTTCAGTTACCATGGTCAACTACAGTGCAAAAATATTAAATGGAAAATTCCAGAAATAAACTTTTTTTTTTTTTTTTTTGAGATGGAGTCTCACTTTGTCACCCAGGCTGGAGTGCAGTGGCGCAATCTTGGCTCACTGCAATCTCTGCCTCCTGAGTTCAAGAGATTCTCTTGCCTCAGCCTCCCGAGTAGCTGGGATTACAGGCGTGAGCTACCACGCCCGGCTAATTTTTGTATTTTTAGTAGAGACGGGGTTTCACCATATTGGCCAGGCTAATTTCAAACACCTGCCTCAGCCTCCCAAAGTGTTGGGATTACAGGTGTGAGCCATCATGCCCGGCCAATTCATAAACTTTTTATCTTTTTCTTTTCTTGCAGTACTTTTAATATTCACAATTTCCTAAGTTTTAAACTGCACACTGTTCTGAGTCGTGTGATGAAATCTTGCACCATCCTGAATGAGCCTTTTTTCATCACAAGAAGAAGGCTGAGTAGATATTTTGAGAGAAAGATCACATTCGCATAATTTTTATTACCGTATATTGTTATACTTGTCTATTTTTTATTAGTTACTATTGTTAATCTCTTATTGTGCCTAATGTATAAATTAACCTTATCATAAGTATTTATGTATAGGAAAAAGCATAGTACATATAGGGTTCAGTGCTACCCATGGTTTCAGGCATCCACTGGGGATCTTGGAACATATCCCTTATGGATAAGGGAGGAACACTACCTTTCCTTCCTAATGAAGCAACTCCAGAAATTGTTCCTTTTTTCTTTTTTTTCTGAGACAAGGTCTTGCTCTGTTGCCCAGGCTGGAGTGCAGTGGCATGATCTTGGCTCACTGCAACCTCCACCTCCCAGATTCAAGCAATTCTCATGCCTCAGCCTCCCAAGTAGCTGGGATTACAGATGCCCACCACCACGCCCAGCTAATTTTTGTACTTTTAGTAGAAACAGGGTTTCACCATGTTGGTCAGGCTGGTCTCGAACTCCTGACCTCAAATGATCTGTCCACCTTGGCCTCCCAAAGTGCTGGGATTACAGGCATAAGCCACCGCACCTGGCCAACTCCAGAAATTTCTGTACCACACCTGGTGTTACATAATAATAAGCCTAACGTTAACTAAGCATTTACTGTGGGCAAGGCACTGTTACACATATTAACCCAATTCACTCTCACAGCAACCCTGTTATTATGCCCATTTTGCAGATAAGGAAACTGAGGCACAGAGAAAGTTAAGTAATTTGCTCAATGCTACAGAACTAAATAGGAAATGCAGCTATGATACAGAGTGATCAACTGTCCCAGTCTGCCCAGGACGTGGAGTTTTCCCAGGACGTGGAGTTTTCAGTCCTAAAACCAGGAGAGTTCTGGGCAAACCAGGATAAACTGGTTCCTGTATCCACAAGCTTTCCTTCTATGCTATATACTACTACATACAAAAACTGTACTGATCATATAAAAAATGGACACATATCTAACAAGGATTTCAAGGGGACAAGAGGGCAGCTGTATTTGTTTCCAATTGCTGATGTAACAGATTGTGACAAACTTAGTAGCTTGAAGCACATTTATTCTCTTACAGTTCTGGAGGTCAGGAGTCTGGAATGATCTTACATCAAGGTTAACATCAAGGTGTTGGCAGAGCTGGTTCCTTCTGGACGCTCTAGAGCAAGCTTGTGTGACCTGCAGCCTGTGGGCCAAATTCAGCCCAGGATGGCTTTGAATGTGAGGACATGTTTGCTTCTCTGTGGTGGTAGATATCATGAAAATTACGCACAGACCCTTTTTTTTTTTCCGCTCATCACCTGTCGTTAGTGTTAGTGTTTGTGTGAAATGCACTCCCATCATCCAATTACCTCCCACCAGGTCCCTCCGCCAATATTGGGAGTTACAATTCAACATGAGATTTGGGTGGGGACACAAAGCCAAACCATATCATGAGGTTTCGCTGTGTTGCCCAGGCTGGTCTCAAACTCCTAGGCCCAAGCAATCTGCCTGTCCTCGGCCTCCCAAAGTGCTGGGATTATAGGCATGAGCCACCATGCCTGACTGATCCTGGCGCTTCTCATCTCCCTTAACTTCGCCCATCCCCCCACTTTTTTTTGAGACAGAGTTTCACTCTGTCACCCAGGCCTGGAGTGCAGTGGCACAATATTGGCTCACTGCAGCCTCAACCTCCTAGATCGGCCGCCCCAGTAGCTGGGATTATAGGTGCATACCACCATGCCCAGCTACCTTATTTATTTTTTATTTTTTGTAGAAACAAGGTCTGTGTTACCCAGGCTGGTCTCAAATTTGTAGCCTCAAGCTATCCTCCCACCTCTGACTCCCAAAGTGCTGGGATTACAGGCGTGAGCCACCACGCTGGGCCTTCTCTCTTCTTACAAAGAAATACACCAGTCATTGAATTACAGCCCGCTCTAATCCAGTATGACCTTATCTTAACTTGATTCCATCTGCAAAGACTCTTTCCGAATAAAGTCATATCCACAGGTATTAGGGTTTGGACTTGAACATACCTATTTGGGGGACACAACTGAACCCCCAACCTCCATCCAGCTTTATCAGTATTTTACACACAACGCCCCGGTCACACGGGTCTTCTCTCGGGTCCTCAAATGCCAAATTTGTTTCCACCTCAGGGCCTCTGCGTTTGCTATTGCCTCTGCCAGGAACATTCAGACCACGGTCTTCACCTAGCCAGCTCCTTCTCATTCTAAGGATAGATTACCACCTCAAGGAGACCTCCCTGCCACCCTAGAAAAAGTGTCCCTCTTCTTATAAAGATCTCTCTTTTATACATACCATTTTATTATCCTCATAATTATTATCATATCTGGACCTATCTTACTTGTTTTTGTACTTTCTGTCTTCCTTCTACCTCCATGCCACCCAGGATATAAGCTCTGTGAAAGAGGAATGGTTATGGTTTTAAAAATATGTACAGACATTCTCTGACACTCCTCCCTTCAAAAAGTGGTGACTAATTCTCCCCAGTTCTCTTGAATGTGGGCTGGACTCATTTCTAATACACAGAGTGTGCAGAAGGGATCCCATGTAACTCCTGAGGCTAGGTCATAGAAAGGATAGCATCGGCTTGACTCACTCCGTCTTGAATCATTTGCTCTGGGGGAAGCCAGCCACCATGTTGGCAGGAAATTCAAGGAGCCTTATGGAGAATCCCACATGGAGAAGAAATAGTTGCCAGGGATGGGAGTGAGGACTTCAAAAGTGATTTCAGCCCCCCAACCTTCAAATCTTCCGGCTGACACCCCAGACATATAGAGCCAAGACAAACCATCCCCAATGCCCACTGTCCCCTGTCTGAATTCCTGACCCACAGAAATCGTCAGATAATAAATGGTCATTTTTGTTTTAAGCCACTATGTTTGAGAGTAATTTGTTACATAACTAGATGCTATAGTTTGAATGTTTGTCCCCTCCAAATCTTATGTTTAAATTTGATCCTCAATGTTGGAGGTAAGGCCTCATGGAAGGTATTTGGATAAGTGAATTCTCATTCTATTAGCTTGGTGCAAAAGTAATTACAATTTTTGTCATTATTTCCTTTTATTTTTCTTTTATTTTTTTGAGATGGAGTCTTGCTCTGTCGCCCAGGCTGG